CAAATGGTGTGATTTTAACTTTAACACTCTGTGTTATTAGTGGACAATAGTAGAATTATCTCTAAAGAAGTACAAATGGTGTGATTTTAACTTTAACACTCTTTGTTACTAGGGGACAGTAGTAGAATTCTTCCTAAAGAAGTACAAATGGTGTGATTTTAACTTTAACACACTTTGTTACTAGGGGACAGTAGTAGAATTCTTCCTAAAGAAGTACAAATGGTGTGATTTGTAACTTTAAAACTCTATGCTGTTAGAAAACAGCGGTGGAATTATACCTGAAAATGTACAGGACCTGTCCTGATAGCGTCATGTTTTCGGACCTGTCCTCATGTTTTCTGCGATATAACGGCAAATCTTCATGCATTATTGAAATTGAACTGACAAGAAACACAAAAACAACAAAAAGAATAAAAAATAACGGAATTCGTTACCGTTTCCCGAAAAAAGAACAAAAGACACGAAGGGTAGTCGAAAATGAAGAGGCACTGATATCTCCATAATTTCACTCCTGCCATAAGAGTGAAAGTGAGCAAAAATATACAACAAATACATATGGACAAGTATTTATGCTTTGTTCCAGATTTTAGTGCAAAGCAACACAAAGATTTGTTTTTGCTCACAGTTGTCCCTAATCTTGGACTGTTATGCTGGAACACTTGGATCCACAATCCGGGTACGCTAACTCCATAATCTCGGACTGTTATACTGGAATACTTGGATCCACAATCCGAGTACTCTAACTCCCTAATCTTGGACTGTTATACTGGAACACTTGAATCCACAATCCGGGTACGCTAACTCCCTAATCTTGGACTGTTATACTGGAACACTTGGATCTACAATCCGGATACGCTAACTCCCTAATCTTGGACTGTTATACTGGAACACTTGGATCCACAATCCGGGTACGCTAACTAATTCTTTACTTTTTATAAAACCCACCATATCTAAAGTAAAAGTTTAACAATCTTTTACCGCTTGTTTAAAGTTCAGATTATCGTCTAAATCTTTGGGATCTCGTAACAAGCCTAAATCTTACTAAATCTCTTTTTATAAATTTTATCGTATAAAAACTCATTTCCAATTTCTAATGTAAAATATGCCATTTCAAAATATTTAATGAACTGCTTATAAAAGTTACAATAGAAATTTAATACTCGGAGAAAAAAATCATTTTACAAAGTCGAGAACAGAACGTATATTATTATATTTCGTCTTTCATGATTATAAAATTATACGAAGCCAATCTATACCAACATAGTTCGAACAGTTCACGTGCCATTAAATGATTCCGCGTGGTTTTACAATTAACTACCGTTCAATGAGGACCACGTTCATTCGCCTACACCTATTAAAAAACAAGGCAACAACAGTCGATAATAACAGATCTTGTTTAAAATCATGTGGGTGAATTTAATAATCACCCAGTTGTGTCACTTACTCCTTGTTCTCCTTCAAGGAACAGATGAAAATCTTCTGTAGTCATATAGTCTTTCCCAGAATACCTGAAATCACAACAGAGTATAGTCAACACGCCAAGAAGGTAATGAAAGAAATACCTGTTGAGCTACTCTGGTATTTTACAAAGTTATTACATTTGATTACAAAAAAATTATCTCGACATCTGCTGAAGTGTTTAAACAACTATTCCTAACTTACACGATGTACGATTTCAGTTATATCTGGAAATTTTTATTGTTAAATAGATACGAGAAGAAAGTGTTTTCCAGAAACTTGGGATAGTTTTTTCTTTCTAATTTTCGATAACATTGAAATCCTGGGCTCGATTTTTTCGCGATTGGCAGAATGCAGATGAGCCATAATGTAGCTTTGCTCTAAAAAACAATGACAACAACAATGATAAAGAAACACAAGAGCCGGACAACTTCAAAACATCGGAACAGATCAAAGCGATGAAGTAAAGTTACACACCTTCATCCCCTCCCTCTTTTTTTAGATAAAAATTTTTTAATCCTGATAAAGGAGCATTAAATAAATACATTTAGATAATTAATAGTTCTGGCATTCATCTAGTTATCTTTTGGTTTGGGTATCATGTTATTATATATATTTAATCGTAGTCTAGGCATTACGTTGGAATGTTTGTGTGACGTTACATCGCAATAAAAAAGAATATAATAGCGCCTTGACCACCAAAGTTGTTTGCTGTAAGTTGCGCAGCCGACAAGGCCTTTCTTCATTACCAGGGCTCGTCAGGTCGGCTAGGCATGCAACAGACAAACAACTAATCTATGGAGCTCGTTTCGTCCACGTAATGCGTTATGTGGTGTAATAATTACGTCAAGGTATCTAGTAAACTGTGAGTTTGGAAATTACGCGAATATAATTAGCTAAGTTTAGTTCTCAGTTACATGAACATGTCTAATTTTTGTCATTTTAAGCATCAAGTAAATTTAATTATATTTGTTTGTTTGTTTTTGAATTTCGCGCAAAGCAACACGAGGGTTATTTAGACTAGAAGGAAGACAGCTAGTCGTCACCACTCACCGCCAACTTTTGGCCTATTCTTTTACCAACGAATAGTGGGATTGACCGTGATATTATAACACCTCTACGTCTGAAAGGTCGAGCATGTTTGGTGGGACGGGAATTCGAAACCGCGACCCTTAGATTGCGCTTTAAGCGCCTTAACCACCTGGCCATGCCAAGCTCATTTTATCTATATAACAATAAGATTGGTTCAAATGTGTACTTCCTAAGAGTACTGTAATCAAAACATAAAACAGGAAATCGCATTGTCTATAGTTAGGCATCTATAAATAAAATATTTCATTAATGAGAAATTTATAATAATCTATTGAAATATGTTCATCTCGATATTTCTTGGAGTATTTTACGGAACCACGGAAGTGTGATCTAAACTTCCATGTTCATCTCGATATTTCTTGGAGTATTTTGTGGAACCACGGAAGTGTGATCTAAACTTTCATGTTCATCTCGATATTTCTTGGAGTATTTTATGGAACCACGGAAGTGTGATCTAAATTTCCATGTTCATCTCGATATTTCTTGGTGTATTTTTTGGAACCACGGAAGTGTGATCTAAATTTCCATGTTCATCTCGATATTTCTTGGAGTATTTTACGGAACCACGGAAGTGTGATCTAAATTTCCATGTTCATCTCGATATTTCTTGGAGTATTTTATGGAACCACGGAAGTGTGATCTAAACTTCCAGCGACAGCAAGTGAATATTGATTCTTTAAAACAGCATAACTTTAAATCAGAGCTCGTTCATATTGTTCAGTCTAGTAGATCTCTTGTATTTTGTTTTTGTTTTATGTGTTCAAAAAAAAATTAAAACCATTATTTTATAAATGATTTTTAAAATATTTATTTTTTGGGTTCCGAAGCTGCTTATGACTGTTGGGACACATTAGGTTCTGATGCATGATCAGTGATTCTCGTTTAGATGTTATCTGGTGGCGCCATCTTCTCTCCAGGGTGGGCCACAATAGGTTCTGATGCATGATCAGTAATTCTCGGTTAGATGTTAGCTGGTGGTACCATCTTCTCTCCAGGTTGCCGTTCCTAATTTAGCAGTGAAGAGGGAAGGTAGCTAGTCAACATCACCCACCGCCAACTCTTCAGTTACTCTTTTAACAACGAATGGTGGGATTGAATATCACATTATAACACCACCATTCCCGAAAGAGCGAGTATTTTAGGCGACCTGCAGATTGCGAGTCGAGCACCCTAACCATAACCCCATGCCAAATCGTTTATATCTTACTCTGTCTTATTCTAAGTCCAAACCTGAGATATCATCGAAATGCACCTTTTTCAATAAAATTACAAGCATTTTCCGAGATGGCATCCCTCCCGGACATCTCCAGTATGCCTTTGCCACTTTTTTCTATAAAAGTAGTGCTATCGTTAATAGATTTCTCCTTACGTCCCTCTTCAGAGGCGGATTTTACGCTTGTTTTAATAAGTATTTATTTTAAAATTAACTAACAACAACAACAACAAAATCTTAGAAATAGCTATGAAAAATATACGAAAACTGAAACGGTGTAATTACCATGTATCTATCCTTGATAATTAAGTAGCACTGTTGATGTGAGAAACATGTACAAATGTTTTCCTAATATTGCCTGAACATCCTCAGCAAGACTCGCGAGGCTTAACATCGTTACAAAATAAATAGATCACCTCAATAAAAAAATAAGATTTAATATTCAAGTATTAGATTCAGCAAGACTTGTGAGGCTTAACATCGTTACAAAATATATAGATCACCCCAATAAAAAATAAGGTCTAATATTCAAGTATTAGATTTAGCAAGACTTGTGAGGCTTAACATCGTTACAAAATAAATAGATCACCCCAATAAAAAAATAAGGTTTAATATTCAAGTATTAGATATCCTGCATTAGAAAGCCTGCAAGAAAGAATAAGAGCCTGTTTTGTCAAACAAGAACAAGTTATATAGTATTGAACACCGAAGAAAACAGGGAAGGAGGTTTTTACAATAATCTGTCACAATAAAAACTACTTTGTAAATACCGTGTGTAATGTAAGGTGATCTCATATGTAGAAATATTTTACTATAAAAAAATAATTAAAACACACAAAAAGCTGCTAAAATACATATTCTATAAATTAAAAGTGTATTTCGTGGTGCCATTTTAATAGTCGCCATTCTCGTAGTTACTCAGTTGAGTCGAAACGTATCTTAAATTTCAATATGGTAAAATAAGACTAGTAGGCCTGAAAACCGAATGACTGTGGATCTGTAGATCCATAATTCGCATCCTATTAGTGAAGTAAAAACACGTTTCGCACTTTGAGGCCCTGTGTGCGTTATAAGGATGAGGGCTGAATTGCACTATTCGGTCAGACAAGAGTAGTCCAAGAGTTGGTGGTGTTGATTAACTGCCATCTCTATCGTCTGTCGATTCAAAATTAGGGATGGCAAGCACAAATAGCCCTTGAGTAGCTCTGCGCAAGTGTTCTAAAACAAAGAAACAAGTAGGTCTGGGTAGACAGCGCGTGCATTATCTATTGTTAGACTTTTCCGGTTTTTCAACGTAATTTATTGCTCCAAAAATATACAAAAGAGGTTATTGTATTAGTTATATAACAAAAGTTTACAGGGCACTTGAAACGTTACAGTCGTATCAACGCAAACACAGTATATGTAAGTATTATAAACAACTGTCTCATGTATTAGTTATATAACAAAAGATTACAGGGCACTTTAAACGTTACAGTCGTATCAACGCAAACACAGTATATGTAAGTATTATAAACAACTGTCTCATTTTTCTGTAATTCTTCTGATATCTTGTGCTTTTAGTAGCTAATCGCCTTTCGTGTATGGGCCAGTACTGGATAGATTAAAGAAATATACGAGCAACGTCTTGCCCCTAAAATACGCTTTCACCTTAATCATTGATGAAAACTTGAAATACAATCTTAACTCTTACACGTTGGTGCAACATCTGCGATCTCTCATTTGTAAGAACATTTTTCCTTTGTTAAGTACAAATGTGGCTTGTATGTTTTCTTAACGTTCATTGTGCTTTCCTGCGTTTTTTTTTTTGTAAAGTTTTTTTGTAAAACGATCTGTTAGAAACATTCCTCTTTGCTACAGATAAAGCGAAGAAACACGTGGAAGTAGTGGAAATAAATAATATATTTGAAAAAAATCACGCTCTCCTTTATCAGGTGTCATTCATCACTAATGCTGTGTTCTGAGACTTATTAAACTGGTTCAGATCCTTACGAATGTGAATGAAACCTCCTTTAATAAGACTTTTAGAAAATAAAAATACACTTAACGCGTGACTACAGCGATTTTCAGAAAAAATCTAATTTCAATTTCCCTCTGTCGGTCATTGATGCATGGATATAAAATTAACATATGTTTGTTCAATCAAACTTTCGTCCAAAAAAAAAGGGAAACTGCTTTTTAGTAACAAGTACCTGGCTCAGTGGAATGGGTGTTGTTCGTTTAATCTTACCAAGAAATCTCATCGATTCGAGACATGCTATGCTTATAGTGAGTGCGTACGTTCAGTTCGCAACTTTTCAAATCTTCACCGCCAGGCGTTTTAGTCTGTGAGTAATTGTCGCTTCTTATCATTACACGCACAATTAGATAAAATAAAAATAAAAGCGCCAGTGAGACTGTATTCGAACTTTCAGAACGTTGACACGTGACCCAAGAACTGATCTACGCCCAGACAATCTACATGGACACATGATCCTGTTGAATATAGCATCTCAACAACAGGTCTATCACAATTAAACTACACCCAAACCTTAAATAATTCAAAAAAGAAAAATGTGGAGTAACACTATCCGCCACCTGTCAGTGTATCATTAAAACTTCAGTATACAGGATAGGTCAAAAAGCACACGGAGATAAGTTTGCAGGAGGGACCTAACCTTTGAACCACGCTGTATTTCTATATAGTAGATTATCTCCTTGTAATATATATATATGGTAAATGTTTTTATTTGTGGTATTCACGGCTTTAGCTTCTTTATATTTAATTAAAATAAAAACGAACACTATTTTAAAAGTTCATTGATCGTCATATTTACATGGTAAGCTAAAATATACACCATTATTTAACAAACGTTTGATCGTCATGTTTACATGGCAAACTGAAATATAACCATTATTTAACAAACGTTTGATCGTCATGTTTACATGGCAAACTGAAATATAACCATTATTTAACAAAGGTTTGATCGTCATGTTTACATGACAAGCTGAAATATAACCATTATTTAACAAAAGTTTGATCGCCATGTTTATGTGGCAAGCTCAAATATACATCATTATTTAACAAAAGTTTGCATGTGTATCCGCTTATAACTGGCGAACAGCTGAACCGATTGTCACTAAATTAGGTATGTAATCTTTGCCCCCCCCCCTCAGATAGTGGCAGGAAAAGGTCGGTGTTCGGATGTTACCATTCCCCACACCTCAGGCATCCCCCTATATTTTTCGTATGCATTACTCCAGCTAGTACAGACAAAAAGCACACTGTATAGAGACGTCAGTATTGGATTGACCAGTTATAGTAAAATCCTGTCAATTCCAATAGCATTTACGTCATATCAAACTATAGACCGGAGAAGAGAGATTCTTAATTAAAGAACCATTTACAAATGTTCTAGTTATAAGCTCTGTAGAAAAAGCGCATATAGATTATGTTATTATGATAACCTGTTCCGTCACAGAATCTTTATATGTATATCCACTACCGGCACTTGTGTTTAAAATTTTTTGTTAAAAATTATAATAAATGATTAATTAAAAACAACGTTTTATATTTTAAAGTGGAAGCCGTACGGCTTC